CATCTGTTGATGGACATTTGGGTTGTTTCCATGTCTTGTTGACTTCAGTGTTTTTCTAGGTATGAGAAGATGCAAGAAATCGCATTCCTAAAATTTTCTCTTGAAAATATTTAACTATCTGAAGGGCTGTTCTTCCATATTTCCCAGAGCACAGAGTGCCTCATTCCTAATCCCCACCCTGAACTCCTTAAGGGCCAGGAACTTCAGTGGCTAATGACTCAATCCTTGTAGAGCTGAATGGTGAGCGACATTCTTTAGTTTGCAATTGTAACTCACTCTACCCCCAACTCTTCATGAATTTCTTGGTGCAATGGCACTGTGAGGGAAAGAGGGTAAGGCAGCTGCGGAAATGTGGCCTTCCTCATCTGCCCTTGCCCCTAAGCCTGTGTCCCAGCAGCCATTTGAAACCACGCAAGGGCTAGAATCCTGGAGTTCCCAGGAGGGACGAGAGCAGAGAGCACGGAGGCCCAAGATGAAACCAACTGCTCCTTGAAAATAAATAAACACCCTTCCCCATTAGCACCCCTTTTCAAGTACAGCAGAAGAAAGCAGTCCTGGGCAGGAGGAACAAGAGAAACTGATGCCTGTCTTATAAGAATCTTTGCCTGCTGGTGGGAGGGGATAGCTCAGTGGTACATGCATGCTTAGAATGCAGGAGGTCCTGGGTTCAATTCCCAGTACCTCCATCAAAAGTAAATAAATAAACCTAACTACCTACCCCAGACCAAAAAAAAAGAGAGAGAGAGAGAGAACCTTTGTACAGCGTTTCTGAAAAGAACCTGTACACACACTGAGTGGATGACTTCTGAATAGAGTTTGTGAACAACTGCCTAAATACAGGGCAATCAGTTAAAAACTGAAAAACCAGAAATTGAATAAGCTCTATGACAGAGTTATGAGATTCTAGATAGAGCAGTACCTCACAAAATTAATACGCCATCACATGGAAATAGGCGAAGACCAGGTCAGTCCCTGGCACCTACAGACACAGTCACTGTTTTCATTTTGTTTTGTTGTTTTGGTTGTTTTGCGGGGGGTTTTTTCAGTAAATTTGTTGCCAACATTTATGAATCAAATATTTCATAGTAAAATCCAGATCACTACCTTCTGTTTAAAATTCCTAAGATTTGGCAACATGGGGCTGGCCTTGTCAATGCCAAATATGATGAAATTGAATGAGCCTTAGGTCTGCAAGCTGCAGGTCAAGGGAACCCACCAGTCCCCACTGGTTCCCAGCCACTGAGGCTAAGGCATGCTGCCTCTTGTCACACTAATACCACCCACCAAAGTTTAAACCATTCTACATACGATGTAGAAGAGGGTAGGGCAGCAGGTAAATTCACTGTAGAAAAACAAATCCATCAAAACTCATTATATCTTTCTTAAGGTCATTTGACCATAGCCATCAATTTAAAACATTTGACCCAGGATACAAATGTACTTACACCAATACAAAATATACATACATCCAAGGTTGTTCATTGTAGCGTTGTTTGAAACAGCAAAACAGTGGAAGCTACTTAAACGTTCATCAGTAGGAGACTAACTAAAGTTATGGAATATCTACATAATAGAATACTGCACAGCTATTTTTAAAAGGGAGACAGAGAATAAAGTAGATCTATTGTGTACCACTCAGAACAGTCTCCAAGAAAGTATTTTAAGAAACAAAACAAAACACGGGGAGGGGATAGCTCACATGGTAGAGTGCATGCTTCCCATGCACAAGGTCCTGGGTTCAATCCCCAGTACCTCCTCTAAATATAAAATAAAATAAATAAAACTAATTACCTCCCTCCCCCCAAAAACACCAAAAATAAAAATAAAAGAAAGAAAACAACAAGATCCTAATGTATAGCACAGGGAACTACATTCAATATCTTGCAATAACCTATAATGAAAAAGAATACGAAAAGAATATACATATATATATATGTATATATATGTATTATAGTTATACATATATATATATATATATAACTGAGTCACTATGTGTACAGCAGAAAGTAACACAACATTGTAAATCAACTACTAAAGAAAAAAATGAAAGAGAGAAATGGGGAAAAGGAAGAAAGAAAAGACTCAAGCAATTTATAGGACAGTATGTATAGTGTCATTCCATTCATGGGAAACATTTTTAAGGGAAAAATGCATATAAATGCATAGGAAGCTTCTGGAAGGATATATAAGACCAAGAGCTATATGGGAAGCAAGTAGAAGAAGCATAGGGTTCAGTGACTTTTTTACTTTTCACTTTGTAACCCTCTGTCTCTTTTAAAAATCATAAAAATGTATTTTTTGTAATTTAAAGGATACTTTAATGATTACACAAAAATGCACTGATGCTGAAAGTAAAATTCCACTTCAGAGAAAATTAATTTCCCAGAAAACTGTCATTCTCCAACAATGTCAGAAAAATTAAGTGTAGCTATTCAACATTGACAATAGGTCAGGTTGTCATGACTCACTCTGATTTCACATATGGAAATAAAACTGCCTACCTCACTGGCTTAGACGTCTTCAATAAAATTTATAAAAAGCAGCCAAGAGTCCCTGGTGCTTAGTAAGTGTTCAATAAAATTCACTATTATCACACAGCCCTCCCACACCAACCAATCCTGACTTGTGTCAGTGATGCATGAGTCAATGACCAATGCGGAATGGCCACTGCAAAATGCAAGACCTAAATTCCATCTCAGGTGACTTTCCCTCCACACTGCACTCAGCCCTTGAAGAAGATGGGAGTCTAGTCCTCAATCATGGAGGCCTTTCCACAAACACCGCAGATGGTACCACCTCCATGCAAGAACAATCCCATTACCTATTAAAGTTTCCATTTCGAAAAGACTTCTACACGCATATGTATTTCCCCCAAAGATTTCCTACCCCCATCTCCAATAAGCCAGCCTGGAGTGGGAACTAGAGACTCCCACACTTCTTGCCTTCCTTCTAGCCTTTTCCATTCACAGATGCCTTCCCTAATGCCCCCTGTGCTCTCTCAAAAGAAATGGTGCTGGAGACCAAATATTGACGCTGTCCAGACAAGGAGGGGTCATGAAATGTTCACGAGCTCTCAGGCCAGAATTCTCTTTTCCCAAAACCCTTTGCTCTTGGGGGTGTGGTCTCCCTCAGCCTCCCTACCCCAAAACTCAGCCCCTGGATCCCGCTGCCCACCTCTGGGCAGGGGGTGAAGAGAGATCAGATAGGCCCTGCAGGCCTGTCCCTTTGAACCAAAAGCCAGAGAGGCTCTGCTTGGGTCCTTCTACATCCCCTCCCCCAGCCCCGCACACAGGTGGGGAACACTGGGAAGGGTTCCCACAGTGCATTAGCTTTGAGCCGGTCAGGAGGAAGAGTGTCATGCTATCCAGCCTCTGTTGTCAATAATTCATGAGGTTCAGACTGAGGGGCACCAGTCAGAGAGTCAGTTTTCCCCAGACATGGGGAAATTTAGACTCAGGCTTTCTTATCTCATCGGGATGTGCTGAGTCCTGCAGCTGTAACATCTCATTTGAGAAATAAACTATAAATCCAGTGCATGCTTGTTCTATCACTCACTATTCATACACCCCCTTCTGAATGCTGAAATCCTTTTTAGCTTCTCAGCTGTCCTACACATACACTAAATGAATCTTTAGCAAGTCTGAATTTTATTAAACAGCGATTCCCAGAACTGAATTTCACAGACCAGGATTCTCTCTCCTAATTGTAGGGACTGACATCGAGTTGCCAGACGGGTGATTTCACGAACAACACTTTTCTCAACCTACCCATCTGCTTCCATCATCTTCTCTTAACAAAAAGATTAGCACCAAAAAAAAAAAAAAAAAAAGGAGCAATAGCATGCCCTAGAATAAAGGACTATCTGTAAAGTTAAATACGCTTAGCTTTATGAAACTGACTATGTTGTCTTTATTTTTCTCTTTTTGCCTTGAACTAGTGAAAACTTTGCCAGAGATCAGCATAACTTCTCAGTCCAGCATTTGGAGACCACTGGGTTAAACCAGTTCAGGCTGGCACTAGGTCTGGTGGGGCCTTTCTACAGTATACCATAAGCCATCTAGATTTATTAATTCTCCCAGAAACCCAGGAGGGAGATCATTTCAGTCCACTTGGCAGAAGTAGAGGCTGAAGCCTTGGATGCAGAATTTATAGCTGGAGAGGACCTTATCCATCATCTACTCCAGCATCCTCAGTTTAGAGACGAAGAGCCTGGCCTATGGCGGCAATAATAATTACTCTAAGGTGGCAATAATTACTAGGTGTTTAGTAGTTTACAGTTTATAAAGTGCTTTTATATCCAACCAATATTTTTGAACTAGGATGGAGGCTAAGACCTGGGGACATAGTGATTACGGAGAACTTGAGTGCTCCTGAGTTCTCCATATTTCTACCACTGACTGGGGGACACTCTAGCCTCCCTGCCACCACTCAGGCCTGAAAAAGGAGATGTCCTCTTGGGATGGAGGGTATAAGAGATCAGTCAGGATCTTTATCTCCACACACTGGTTCCCACTGGTGGTGGGAGTCTGCCCTCCAGGCCTGTGGGAATGGAGGAGATCTTGAGCCAGAGTGAAGGGCAGTGCCGGCCTAGCCCAGCTGCTCCCCAAAACATCTCTTAGGCTCCTCCACCCTCACCTGAGACCCTCACGTGGTGGATTCCGTGGGGACCACGGGCCTCACGCCCAAGGGCAATTTCAAAATATTCGCCCTTCTGTGGCTTGTTACATAGGTAGACCTGAAATTTCATGGAAAACGAAGTCCATCTTGACGTCTGGAAAGTAAAAGCAACCTACTCAAAGTCTTCTCTCCCCCAAGAAAAGAAGTGGGCAAGCAGATGTAGAAGGAGGGGTGGGGGGACAGGGGATTCTGCGGGTTCCCGGAGATGGGGGCAGCCCTACTGGAAACCTGAACCTACAGCACCGTCCCACACAGGCTGGGGAGGCCGGGGCGCCGCGGTCACAGCCGGCAGGGGGC